GAGTTGTCAAGATATATTTGGAAGGCATCGATATCTCGAGAAGCGTTCGGTCTAATTTGGCTAACGATTGCACGAGATACATAGCACCGTGTACCCACTCGTGATTTGGTGCGGACGCGTGACTTAATGGTTGCGTAAGGATCAGTTAGCCAACATATACCAACCTCAAGTTCTCTGTATATACGATTTACAGCTTTACCGATCAAGTATAACAACTGGCATGCAGTGCGACAACTGCAAAGGTTGGTTCCACGAAGCATGCACAAATCTGACAGCAACTGCTTACAACAGACTCAGCAAGTCAGACCAAAAGTGGGTATGTGTCACGTGCAGCACGGACGCAGTAGTCTTGCTGAGTAACATCATTGTCCTACTGACAGGTCTTCGGAACAAGCTGTCAGTTAACTTGGAATACGATAGTAAGAAAACCGATATACAAACAAGAGCGCGCAACGGACTCAAAAATAGGGATGTCGATAGGTATACCATCGATGGAGCATCCATCAACACTAATGACGACGTGTCGAGGCTCAGTACCATCATTACGTCGACGGTACTAGACTCCCTAGACAAACTCGAGTCTCCCAGCTCAGGGTCCCTGAACACAACAGTGGTTCCCAAAAACCCTGCAGGTGATTCGACCCACGTTAAGAGAGCCCAAAAGAACCAGGCATCACCGCCTAAGCCGAGCAACCCAAGTGTTGCTGCACGGAAAATAACTGGTGATTTAGTCGCACAGTCTACCCCCAAGACTGTTCGTCCGGTCAATAAAGAGCCCAAGATTCATAAACGCACACTGACCTCCAAACAACAAGTAATTAAACCTGAACCCATCGTGAAACCTGGTAAATTAACAACAGTTCGTGACGATTCTCTCATTATCATGAACCTCGTTGACAATTCTGACCTTCCTCTCAGTCTGTAGGACAAAAACGACAGGATGCTGTGGGGTGAATTGAACAAGAAGCTCGAACTTCCTAGAATAGAGCCTTTGACGGTCACCCGGCTCACTCGAGGAAAGGATTCTAAGCATCTAAATCACCCGAGGCTTCTCCGAGTAACACTTAAGAATGCTACCGACGTAGAGGACGTCTTGCTAGCAAGTCACTTACTGAAATCAGATGGTAACGTAAGAATATTGCCCGACATGCCGTACTCTGAGCGCAATATCATACGAAACGTCCCTAAAGAATCTCGCGAGAAGTTTTTCCGCGGAAGAAACATAATTGTCCAAGGCATACCGGAAAATGCAGACCCTACTCAATCAAATTCTGACATCAGGGAATGGAAATTCATCAAACAGTCTTTGAGGCTCAAACACATATTGACTCAGCATGTGACGAGACTAGCCAAGAAGGACGGTGATCTTAGACCCCGTCTAATGAAGATAACCTTCCCATCTTCCCACATGGCGGCTGCAGTTCTGGAAGCATTTCGTGCTAATAGACGTCGATTGCCACCTGGAATCCACATGCACCTGGATACGTCATACGAAGTCAGGACCAAGAACAAAGGCAAGTTGGAGCTGACCATTCCACTTGTGGACTGTCTAAACGGTAAAAAAACATGTAAAGGACAGGGCCTACCACCTCAGCAAACCTCATATAAGTGGGCTACCTGTCCATTCACATAAGGTTCATACAGAAAAACAGGACGAAGCTCACGCGTTTCAAATTGAAAGCATACACTGCTTATATATGAACGCCGCGAGTCCGCCAAACAAAATGGATGAACTACGTGAACTTAGCAATGCTAATAAGGCCCACATGACAGGAATATCTGAAACCTGGATATCTTCTCAGTTCTCGGACCATGAGCTAGCATTACCTGGGATGACTTTGTTCCGCAACGACAGAAAAACAGGAATTGGGGGCGGAGTAGCCATATACATAAGCTCATGCTTGGAGGTGCATCAAGTTCATAACCTTGAGTTTAACAATCTTGAGGAATCTATATGGTGTTCTGTAAGATTGTCAAGTACTTCGAGGTGTCTAGTCGGAGTCATTTACAGGAAGCCAACTGCCGACACCGAGTACGATAGTCGTATGCTGGAAGGACTATCCCGCTCTACTCGTCTCGGTTTCACACATATCCTGATTCTAGGGGATTTCAGTCTCCCTAGAGTCAACTTCGCGGGACACACGTATACTGGAGGCGACAACTCAATTGAAGCTCGGTTCTTCAACCTCATCGATAACTTGGGCTTATATGAAAATGTGAGGTCGACAACTCGTTGGAGAAACAGTCAGACACCATCGCGCTTAGACTGTGTATTCACAAACGAAGAATTCCTAGTCAACAACCTCTCAATCCTGGCTCCTCTGGGAAAGAGCGATCATGCCGTCATAGCCTTCAGTTTTGTCATCAAAACTAAGCTAAGGTATCCCAACAATAATTTGCGTTGGAATTTTAAACAGCTGAATGTGCCAGCTCTACATGACTATCTACAACATGTGGTTTGGGATGTTCACCCCCAACTCGATGTGGACGATCATTGGGACTTCTTACTGCACACGCTCTTATGTGCTACAATCCATTCAGTTCCTCAAACGGTTCCCAAAACCTGCAAGCCACCTACAATATTCAAGAACCGTACCCTTCGCCTGCTAAGCCGAAAAAGGCACTGTTGGGCGGAATACAAACGAACTAATAACGATGGAGCGTATAGGCAATATAACCATATCAGGAACATATGCACGAAGGCTATAGGAGAAGACAGGCTTCAGTGCTAGACAAAGCTTATGGACAAATTCGCCTCTAACCCTAGAAGCCTATTCCGTTATGCAGCCTCTCTTCGTCAAGCCAAAACAGGAGTTTCTCAACTGCTAGGTCTCAACGGCCCGACCAACAATGATGGCGACGCCGCTAACCTTCTGGCGGCACATTACTCTCAAACATTTCAACCGGCTGACATCAACTTTATTGACGACAGTTTCATCTGCAATTCCACAGGACTTTCTGAAGTGGACCTAAGCGCTGACTTGGTGTTCCGGAAACTGCAGCACTTAAGACTTGACACTTCTCCTGGCCCGGATATGGTTCATCCTGCCATACTGGGGAGGCATCCTCAATCCTGGCAACGCCGCTTAGCGTGATGTTTTCACACTCGCTTAGCCGAGGCAAATTACCGGAAAATTGTAAGTTGGCTCACATCACACCAATTTTCAAAGGTGGTCGACGCAATGAACCTTCAAGTTATCGGCCGGTGGCTCTTCTGTCATTACCTTCAAAACTCATGGAGTCCCTGATATGCGACGGTTTAAACGACTATCTACTGTCCTTAAATTTCTTCTCACCCCAACAGCATGGTTTCAGGAAGGGTTACTCTTGTATAACCAACCTGCTGACTGCGGTGGACAGATGGACAAGCATCCTCGATTGCAAGGGAAAGGTTGATGTCATTTACCTTGATTTCTCAAAAGCTTTTGATAAGGTTAACCACTTGTGTCTTATCAACAAGCTCAAACGACTAGGTGTCAAACCACCTCTAATCGACTGGCTTACTTCATACCTAAAAAATCGACACTTTAAGCTTGGGGTTAATTTCACTTTATCTCAGGCTATGGAATGTCCTAGTGGGCTTCCCCAGGGATCAGTACTAGGGCCTCTTCTCTTTTTGATCTACATAAATGATCTTCCTCAACAGGTAACGTCAGACTTACTACTTTTTGCCGACGACGTGAAACTTTGGAAAGAGATACGCAACCAAGACGATACACAGGCACTTCAGGAGGATCTGACGCGACTTCAAAGTTGGGCAGACGATAACGGACTTACCTTTAACACTTCAAAGTGTAAAGTAGTCCATCTGCGACATGTCGCAAACTACAGTTACAACTTAGGAAACTCCTCTCTAGTAGTATCCCAAGTCGAAAAAGATTTAGGAGTCCTGGTGCCCCATGACTTAAAATCTTACGCTAACTGTGACAAAAATGCCTTCCGAGCAAACCTTGCACTGGTAACGTTAAGGCGCATTTTTGGCCAGTTTGACGGACGAACTTTCCACACAATCTTCAATAGTTTCATCCGTCCCCATTTAGAGTACGGAAACATAGTACTCCCCCTCACTCCGAAAGGACAAGGTCACTTTGGAGCGTATCCAACGGCGAGCCACGAAATCAGTTCGAGGACTCAAATTCAAACCTTACGAAGAGCGCCTCCATTCACTTAACCTTTACCCATTAGAGTATAGACGTCTTAGAGGTGACCTTCTGATGGCTTATAGTATCCTTAACACTTCTGGACATTCCCTCAAACACCTACTTAAGCTTAGTTCCAACACTAACCTAAGAGGTAACACCCAAAAACTGGGGACACAACATAGCAGAACGGACTGTAGACACAACTTCTACTCCTTAAGAGTTGTCAAATGCTGGAATTTGCTGCCGGTAGAGCTAGTCCAAGCGACTTCTCAGGAGTCCTTTAAGAGGCAACTTGACCTATTCTTAAGAACCAAGGACAGCATCACACTATGACTTACCAATTTCTTTTCCTCTTTTATTGTTAACATACCTAGGTTCCTGCCTGGAGGATTTCGTGATCCCCTGCTACTAGACACGGAAGCCTGTTAAGCGAAAGCTTCTTCTATTCCGTCCACAACCATTTGAACCATTTTGAACATGTCATCGTTGGACAAGTTTACTGTAGCGCAATCCTGAGTGAGATGGAATATATTGACCTCTACAAAAATAATGACCCAAAATCTCAACTCTTATTCGCTAACATGGTTTTTTACACACTGAAACCAACGAATCATCGCATATGATGCTCAATTTTTACATAATAACGTACATGGGGGTACGATATAACTACAGTGAACTACATGATATGAAAGACCTGACATTCCACCATAAAATAACTAAGCGAGAGCCACGAAACTAAGGGGTTCATGCTAAATCATCACAAAGATATGGGATATACGTTAAATATCTCTTGTTTGCAATTTTCGGGACAGAAGCATCCTAGAGACATTTTGTTTATACTACTCGATGAATGTATTAGATCCTTGAAACCTGTTCAGTTTTTTCTAGGTCAAGTATACTTCTGAGCTTTTTAAGAACTAATTGTTCCCAAGGTATGGGTGTGGAAGATGAAATGAAGAAAGCGTCCTGCTCCTGTTCATCCATATGTTTTGAATATCCTCAGCCAAGTATGACGCGTCCATTAAACAAAAGAAGAGGTTTGATAGAAAATATAGGACTTTGTGAGAGTAAGTTTGCTACAATAACTGTATGAAATAGAGATAATGGCTGAAATGATGCTGAAAGAAAAAGGAGAGGTCTTTCCTGAAAAAGATTATAGTGATCAAAAGAGAAAATCTACAGAAACTTGTGTTTTTAAAGCACATCAAAATACGAAAACTAGTATTTCACCGTTGTCTGTTCAGAAGTAGGTTTTGTTCACTGAAATATGAAGCTTTTTACTATAGGAAATACGACTCAAGAAAAACTCACGTAAGTGTTGTTTATTTCGATCCTTCATAGAGACTAATAGTTACCTCAAAATTTCAACCTTTTTAAAAAGACGTTAAGATTTTGACCGAATTTCATAATAAATTCTGTGCAGAGTTCTGCCAGAAACCTCGTTATTTTTCATGGTCTGGATTTTTTCTGTGCAATGAAAAGATCTCGGGAAATCTTAAGTATTGAGAAATAAGTCACACCTTATTATATATATATATATATATATATATATATATATATATGTATTTGTGTACGTATTTATCATCGAATTTCTACCTGATGCTCAATTTATTTGGAACTATCAAGTCCAGCCTTGGCATTCATGCCTAAAGGATACATATATGCTTCTGCGAAATTTCAGAAACTTGATTTAAAAGACCTCACATGTTTCAAGGACATAGCGTCAATCCTTTAAATTTACGCGGGTAATAGACACTTGTTCTGACAATCCTGAACTAAGGTCTATTCGAAAATTATACCATTTCATGAAGTTCATCTATCTATTGAAATCAAAGAGGGATATAGATTAGTTTGCGGATTTAGGATTAGGATATAGGATTGGAGGTTGGGGTTAGGAATTAGATTTCTGATGTTCACCACTAACTCGCATAGGCTATTACCCCACAATTTTATTTAGCTATTTGGATTAATGGATTTCTAAACGGAATCTACATTGCAACATGGTCGATAGCATTCGATCTGCACTAATACGGCCACTCAGTGGTCAATCAATTGTGAACGGACTCCAATATTTACCATCTTTGATTTCATTGGTTCTTCCATAATTTAGTCCCGCCGAAAGCTAATCCTGTACTAGTTGTTGCATAAAACATAACTCTTGATCGTGTCAGAATTCTCTGCCTAATATCGCTAGCATACTTGAATTGATAAACCGTTTTACGATGAACAAACACATAGTCTAAATGTATTGGTTGCTTGAAACTTCCCATCAATGTTTAGGACTCCAATTGGTCAGTCTCTTTTGTTATACGAACATCCTATGAGGATCGCACAAATATTACTACAAAGTCATTAACACATATCTCAAAAAATCTGCAAGCATCCCTATTACCATTGAGACTGTCACTACCTGTACCGTTCTGGGATTCGGCCTGACAGCATCACTGTGTTAATGGGGTGTGTCAACTTGAACCGATGTAAATACGTACCACGTTCTGCATTGCGACTGGCTGGTACCAAGAGAGACTGATCAATCAAAGTCCTAAACATCAATGGGAAAATTCAAACAGCCAATATATAAAAATTAAAATCCACCTCCTTTCACAAGCCAGTGGCCATCTAGACTCAGTGGCTATGTGGGCAACGCGATGGTGCAGGGGCGATTGATACTGGGTTTAAGTTACGGAGTGAACATCAAAACCGGGATTCAGGTACATCCACTTGACGAGTTCAAAAATTTCACTGCTAGCCATCAAATGTATCTGCATAAAAATAGGTAAATTGTTAGGAATAAGTCATTTGTAAACCTAGTGCAAGAATACGTGATTCGAAGTCATTTGCATCATTAAAGTAGTCCTATTTTGTGCATTTTCCAACATCTTAGATCGTATTTATCCACTGCTATTATAAAAAGACTGACAAATCATAAATGGGTATATTGTTTGGAATAGGTCAGTTTTGAACATTGTCAGTGAAGATTACTGAGCTAGTATCACATCTTCAGTCTATATGTTGTCAGTTCTTCAAAGGTCAGTTACAGTTCATTTGAGTGTTACAGAACAGTTTTTTAATTCAGCCGATTTTTAACTTCCCTCAAATAATTAATGCAATGAATAAAGACGCCGGTACATTTTGTGCGGAGAAGAAAAATAAACACATGCTGAGGTGGTGTACCCATAAACTCTTAAACAACTCGTTTCTGAGCAGTAACGTAGAACATGGAGTGATCAAACCTAATTTCTCCACTGATTTAACAAATTCAGTCGTGACAGTATCTGAGCACTCCTAGATCGAATAAGCAATTAGTGAATCGTCAGCAAAATAATGTGTCCATTGAATCTGCAATAATTCTCGGCTAAACACCGGCCATCACGAGATAACTCCATATTATCTAATGCTTTTAAGAGTCAGTGGTGTTCTGAATTAATAGTCAAGTGAAAAAGCATAACACAGACTCCTTTGCTACAGAGAATTACTACGACTATCTGAAAATACCTAAAATCCATTTGCATAACCTTTCCTTCTGTTCATCAATTCAGGAATATGGAGTCAGATTTAGAAAACATCCAAATCGTTAAACGAGGAAATCCCACAGTTTTTTCGTGAACAGAATAATTAGACCCTACCTAACTATCATTTATCTTTAGGAGATATCTTATGGTGTTTTTTATGTCAAATATGTTTTCTAAGATGACAGAGAAAATCAAAATCACCCTCACAAAGTACTAAATTTAAATCGACTTAAATACCTATGAATTGTTGTAGATGGTATTATCAGTAATGATTTAAAAACTGTAGACACTAATCGAGAGATAATAACGGAAAACAAAGGCCAATCTTATGGCTTATGAAGAGGTGACTCTTTTCACTCATAAACCTTTTCGTGAATATTTAGATTCCGAATGCTTAATGTCCTTATGTTTTTAGACCAATTTTATGAGCTTAGTCTAAATCCTCTGAATCTCTTGAAAAAAAGAAAGCTAATTAAATATCAAAACGTTTGCACGTGGATTCATTTAGGCCGCTTCTAGTAGTGAATGCTGTTCGCGATAATACGATCTCAAACTAATTACATATCTCAAATTTTTTGATGAATGCACCCATGCCACATATGGTAATACTTCTGGGTCAGCAATTCATATCCTCATATCTTAATGACTACTCATCATGTTTGACTCATCCGTTGTGGATATTGTTCTGTTTGTTGTAGAGCATAAGTGGTGATCTGCACGAGAACCTGAAATGAAGAATGCATATTTGTAGACCCACAGTAGATATGAACTGCTTTTTCTCTTTAAAACTTTGTCTTATATCTTACTTTGACACATATGAATGAAAATATTTCTCCTGACAATCTTAAACTACTACTTGGATCCATCACTACTCATATATTATCCCGCATAAACATCTATAATAATTTACTAATCTATTTAAAATATAAGCTGTTCAAGTTTTCAGATACTGCCACCTTGATATTTTTGTGAAAATAATTCTGAATGGAGTTTGATTTACCTTCCTGTCAGTCGTTATATAATGAAATACATATTACAATCGGGTGTTTTGTTCTGATTAGATGTTACTTGAAGATTTGGTATGTTACAAACTTCAAACAAAGAAATTACTTACTTACGACTGTTACTCCTCATGTAGCGTATGCCACTGACCAGGATTATTTTAACTATTGTGTTCCGGGCTCTCCTTTCCAATTGTTCTCAAGTGCTATTCATTCTTTTGATGCCTGCTCCCAATTCTCTGAGCTATGTGTTGTTTGGTCTGCCTCTCTTTCTTTTGCCTTAAGGATTCCATGTTAGGGTTTGTTTTGTGACGCGGCTCGATGATCTCCGAAGAGTGTTACCTATCCACCTCCAGTACGTTTTCCTTACCCACTTTCCATCTGAAGGCTGGTTTGTTCTCTACCACAGTAGGTTGTTGCTGATGCTATCTGGCCAGTGTATCTGGAGTATCTTGTGTAGACAGTTGTTTTTAAATACCTGCACTTTTATGATGGTTATTGTGGTAGTCCTCCAAGTTTCACCCCTATAATGTTCTACTATCCACATTTACGAACGCTTCTGTTTAGATGTGGAGGTTTTCATACTCATATTACTAGCTCATTTTGGAGCTAATTAATCGGTGATATCTGTGCCTTTTCTAGGTGCCCATTTTTTCTGAGATTATAGGAGCCTTTTACTTATTGTCAAGTAACTGTTGCATACTTCTAATACATATTGAAACAACTAATCAAAACAGAGCCTAGGCATAACCAAAAAATTACACAATGACAAGGTATGACTTCGGAGCCAAAGTTGACAGAAGTGTGATGAAGGTCTCACGTGAACCGAAAATAAACATCAAGCATTAGTATGTGGGGTGGGGTCACACCTAATACGAAACAAACGATTTTTGTCATTTAGCATGTATACGCGAGTGAATTTTTTACATATACAAAGCTCATTACGATGCGAACGTTTAGACCTGTATAACTGAATGGATGGATAAAAGAACATCTTCCATAGGTAGACCTGGTATTTGAAAGGTTTCACGTATATGGCCATACAACTAGAACAGAAAGATGTGGACTTTGTTGGGATTACCGTTAAAGGTTGATGATAAACGTATTGATGACCATTTTGGGGCACCTGGAATCAAGCACCATTCATGATTTTTCCTACGTCGCGAGGCTAAAGACAAATACTGTGTTGACTTGAAATCAATGAGATCTGACTAGAGAGGCCTATCTTGATGAATTGTTTTTCTTTCCAGTCTGTTTGTGTATGGCCTTCTTCTCAAACATTTCTAAAGCGATTGTGGTCGAGCATCTTTGCAGTCATTCGTATGTCTGACTTTGGTTCTTCAGCTTGTACGTTGTCTGGTCTTGCTGCCTTCTCACTCTTGATCTTGCTGATGATCATGTTGATTTCTTTGACTGTTGGTGCGGTAACATCTATATGTGTCTCACGTTTCCTTCTGTTTCAGCCTTTTCTACCGTCATTGTTAGGCCTTCCTCATTTTTGGAATTAGGTACCTACAGATAAATTTCTTGAATAATTCTCTCTACTGTGGCATAAAGAGTCTTATCAGGGCTATAGTGAAATTAGGTAACTATGTATGTAGCCAACAATTATAATTTTTTTTCCAAAATGTAACTAACTACAATTAGTACAAAAGGGCAGAATTGTAGTCGATTACAACGAGAACAACAAGCACATTCATATAGAACAATAGCACCGAAACAGCAAAATAAAACAGTATAAAAGGTTAGTCATGTTTATGCATCTGGTGCAATTTAGCGATAGTGATAGTGGTTGAATATGTAGAGTTAAATAAGTTTAAAGTATTTGATTTAAAAGGGTATTGTACTAATAGACTGATGACTATCTAGCGTTTTCTTACATGATGTTTTGAGTAACAACGATGGAATCCCTGTACGTCCCACAGTCTTTCATTCATTTCATATCGATTGTGCTGGTAGGCAGAAGCTAGAATAACTGTCATTAAATGAAAATTCGTGTGATTTAATTACGGTTAGAATAAGAAAAGTAATTGTCATTAACCAGTTTAAGGCGTTAATCAAATGCAGTATTATATGTTGCATATTTATGATTAGCTAGACTAATTATTATTAACTAACATGTTTACTGACATTTCGAGTTGATGGTGAATATCTCAAATGGTGTCTACCGTTTATCTTCATTTTTCTCAAACACTACAAGTTTTTGCAAAAATCTTTGTTATATGTTCTTAAACCTGTAGTACTTGTGTTGTAACAACAGAAATTCATGAATATTATGACTTCACTTGTTTATCACATTTTTTAATTCATCCCAGAAAGCTGCAAATCGCCAGGTATATTCTGAAAGACGTCTGCCTAAGAGTTCTCCAGATATGGCAACAAAATGCACAGAAGAAAATATATCTTTTCTACTTTCACATATTTTAACAGACGGTAGCGGCCAGCCAACAAACGGGAAGCAATCCGTTAATTACCATATATCCACTGAAATCCCAGAGCATACATTCATTCAAAAACCAACGAATCCAATCAATGTTGCATCCAAAGAAACCGATGAAGGGATTCAACAAAGCAAGTTTATCACAGAGTATTGTGACTCGTATATGTTATTTTATGTTTTTTAACGGACGAAATTGTTGCAGTAAAAGTGTTACTGAGATATAAGGATGAAAATTCAACGGTTAAGTAGGGGTTTTTAAAGACGAATCCATTTATTTTTAATATGCATGATGTACATGTTAACTGTGACAGTGAATTCCTATATACGTAGATAAAATTTGACGACGCTATAAATGAAAATAATTCTTTGAAATATTGTGCTGTACGTGACGCAATACAAGCAAATTCGTCATGGTCCTTAATATTCAATGGAATTTTATCTCAACTCAAATGAATATATATATGACACTGCATCAAAACATTTGTTATAAATCATGTTATCTTCAATTTAACTTTGTTATTGTAATTGTAAACACATCTCAGTTCTACAGGAGGTCGGTCGCGGCCCTGATATCTCAGTGGTAACGTCTCTGATTGTGAGGCCGGGTGACACGGGTTCGAATCGGTCGGGGGTCAACAGTTGTCTCAAGATTTCAGGTACACCATGCTGACAAGTGCCAAGTAGCACGAAACCTAGGTCCGAGGTTTCTTGTTCACTACCTCCAACCACCATCTTATCTCATAATAGTGCACTCAATATCTAGTCACCTAGACTAATGTCCACATTGCAACTTGGTCGATTGGATTCGATCGGCATTAAGAAGGACCTGACATACATGACATCGATCACCACCCAGTGACTGTATTTACTTACAGTTCTTATAATTACCAAAACTACCACTTCCCCTTACAATGATATCTAGGTGTATTGTGAACTTTTTCCGAAATGTATGGGGATTTTACTTATTATTCATTCCAACAGATAATAGGACATTTTGAATTGTGTCTATATATGGTAATTGGTTTGATGAATATGTTGAAATTTCATAATTCTATTACTCATGATCACATGATTAGTTGAAATTGGATTCTATTTTTATATTGATTCCAATTATTGTTCTGCTATATCGATGTTTTCACTTTTTACTGAGACTTTTGAAATTGAACTTAAAGTAGTAATAACCATGTATGTATACATGTATAACTCAATGTGTGTTACGTGTCTCTTTATATATTGGTTTAGCTTGTCTTCCTAATTATCCCAGACTGATATTTTCTCTGAAAAGTGTTTTCCGTGATAAGATAGCACTTGTGTCTTTTCGTTTCAGTTTCAATCCAATATACAATATGACCTTATTGTTTCTAATGACTCAAACTTAACTTAGCATAGTCTAATCCATCTTATGAATAATATGGGATATAATTTATCTTCATAAATGTCCTACCCATGTCCGGACACACTTGTAATTAGAAACCCATAACCATTTTTCTAAACTATTGTAAAACTGGCACTACATCTTTCTGATTTGCATTATTTTGAATTTAGCATTTAAACTCGTGCCCTATCTGTTTTCTTATGAGTTTGTTTTAATCATAAAAATTCATTGTCCAGGCACATTTTTCTAATAATTTTTTAGATCCTACAATAAATGCAGAGCATGGTATTGAATCGAATAAAATTCCAGTATCAATTAATTTCAAAAGCTTTGTACGAACCACAAGTGATTATGATGTTCAGCATGAGGTTTTGTAAGAGATTAGACTAAACTAAGTAATTGCTCTAATCTAAAGTGAAATATGTGCAAAAAATAATGTAGTAAAATGCCTAAATCTGAATGAACTGAGTAACTATTTAAGCATTCTGGAAAGGCTGTTCATTTCACTCAATATCTCACGAGATTTAGGAATTAATGAGTGCCTTTAATAAATTTCATCTTCAAATTAATGTTAACGCTAAATGCAACATGTTTAGACTTCCATCTTATTTCAGAGATAAGTACTATCGAGTTGTTACTTTGCATAGCTTATACTCACGTTGAGTTAAGTGAATGACTGTATTAAGATGTTCTATTTTCAAGGATATTAATGTACACGTACCTATATTATAGACTCATCTTACCGAAATAAGCTATGCTCTCAACAGAAATTTAGATCTCTTACTATAGAGTAACTGATTTAAAAGTAGTATCCATTCAAAAGAGTGTACATTAATAAGAGCGACTATCAGAAAAGCATATATTGATAAAGGTGAGTATTGAAATGTCCTTTCTGCTCTCCAGAAATAATTAATGAACTTTATTCTGTCGATTGTTAACATCTGCGATAATAAAATACAAATGACTGGGTTTTGTTTAATACTAATTAGCTGAAGAGGTCAATCGGTTGTTGATGGTTTCGATTGATGGTTTTAATTTCTTGTCATTTCTTATTACTACCTTCATGTTTTTAAGTGGTCAATTATCTTCTAGATATTTGATTTTTTCTAATTTTTTTTCGTCTTGATCGTTACGCAGTATTATTTCGATCCTTGGAATTGAGAGAGAGGTTATAGGCATTAAAACGTAAGTGACATAGACATTCAAGATTCGGACATCAACTTCCCAGCATGTTAATAACTCATCAGTCTAAGAGGGCGATTTATTAAGACAATAAAATAATCCCGACAATACGTTAACTAACTGAATATAATACATCAAATGAGAGCATTAAAAGGGAGTAACATCAGTTTAGTGTAGATGTAAATGTTACGTACATTATAAAATTTTCGTAACACAGTTTACCATTTTAGATGTGCAAATTCACATTATGTGCCATTCCACGCAGATAGTCTAGTGTCGATCTATTTACGTAATCTTCTACGAACAATTTGATACATACTGCTACCTCTCCATATTTTCTTTTTACTTCCTGCCCCTGAATTCCTGCAAGAGACTGTTTGATTTTCAATCTATTTAGACTCTATTCCCTTTTTACAGCATTAATCAATTTCTATATACTTGGATGAGCGGTACTAATAACTTGGCTAAAGCCTCTATACCACCATTCCACCACATTATTCGTTTTCGGAAAGCCCTCCACAGCAAAATTAGAATGGTAAATATTTTACATCATGAAAAATCTTATTCCCTTTCAATCCTCAACTTCATTAACATGCACCTTTTTGATGGTCGCCCTTTTACTCACGCCCTTAATAGTGTGAACCTTTGAAAATATGGAAAACTTTTTATAGAACCACAGAATAAATTTAACAAGTACTAGAACCAACAATTTAATTACAAATAGTTAAATCAGTTTCAACGTTATTTTAGACGTCAACTTTGGTTTTCGATTGCTACTCGTAAATCGTACACTAAAATTTTGATGCTAATGCCTCAAGGTTTAAGCAATTTTTACACTTGTAGTACTGCATTTATTTGATAACACTAATTAGGATTATTTCAGTTTTCTGGAAGTTTACCAATGTGTTTTATGGAAGTAACAAAATTTAACTAGACTAATTTAACAATAGCGTTACGAATACCCATAAGATTTTGTTTCTAAATACTATTGACAGGAATTCTCAATCGTTGCTAATTAGTAGTATACAACTTTAGTACACATCCTGCCAGTTATTATGTGTTACTACAATAGCTTGTCAGTTGTTTGAAAAAAACTCCCAGATCTAAACGAATAGGTTTATATGAATAGAGCAAGAAGAACGGACGTGACAGAACCAGTCAATCAGTCAGCTACAACGTAGGACCAGGCACATATATGTATCGGTTCAAGTTGCCACACCTCATTAGCACAACAAGATGAACACCGAATTCGAAGAAGGGGTTAATTCAATGGTGGCAATACATAAAAAATTGCATGTAAAGATATAGTACAGAAAGAAAGGTATAAGATAATTTTATTCTCACAGTTTAAGGGAAGACAAAGAGTGTATAAGCCTACGCCGTTGTGATCGATTCTGAGCCATGTCACAAAGAATCTCCAACCATTGGTTACGATAGTTACACGGACGCAAACCAAGTAGTCTGCATCTACCAACATGGCTAAGACTAGAAGTTAGTGACTTTATGGACTGATGCCACATTTTGGTTTGGCCGCCCCTAACTTTCTTCCAACCATGCCTAACACTAGTCAGCATTGTGCGTCGTGGTAATCGGTGTTCAGGCATGCGTAACACGTAGCCCAACCATCTCAGTCGATGAAGATTCACAACCTGATCAACTGATTTACCGTCATTCCCTAATACCCTGCGTCTAACCTCACTATTACTTACCTGGTGATCCCAGCAACATTTCTAAGGCATCTGTGGTCAAATGCTAGTAGCTTACGAGTGTCTTCTACTCTTAATGGTCATGTTTCGCTGTCGTAAATTAAAACAGAACGGATTGCCGCGCAGTATACTCGTCCTTTTATTGATAGACGGATATCTCGCCTTCGCCATAGGTGACGTAAGTTGGCAAAAGCCAAGCGAGCTTTCTCAATCCGTGCAGAGATTTCGTCAGACACCAACCCATTAGGACCGATAAGACTTCCAAGATAATATAAGTGCTATGAGTACTATGTCTGATCGCTGAGCTTTATGAAGCAGTTTAGAGAGCTTTCTGTAAAAGTCATTTCTTACTTCATCCGGGCTTCAGTCAATGGAAGCGTAGGCAGAAACGACGAAAAGGCAACGACGTGTGTCCATATCCTTCCGAGTTCTTACGGAGTCGTTTAGCCGAACAGCACATAGACAACTGTTAACGGGCATCCACTCTAACAGTGCTTGTTCCGCCCTCATGCTTAGTGCTATGCCCACACCTACCAGTCCACAAGAATCAGCCATGGAGTCGCCAGATACACGGATAGTGTGTCTCGTCGGCTCTCCGTTTTGGCGAGGTGAGGTCAAGTGAATGACCACACTAGGATCCTGTATGCGTGTTTCGGATACACAGCATACATAAATGGTACGAGATTCTAGGGTTTTAGCCAAGGAAGCCTGCTGACCGATTTGACATAGGGTGCGTACGTTGAAGGCTCCAATGTGTAGTTTGTAGCGAGGTTTCAGTAGACCTGGGACAGTGTTTCGCGCACTAGAATCGTTGGCTATGGTGACACTTGAGGAGGAAGCCAAAAGAGTAAGTTTAGAGTTGAAATTCGATGTAGGAGTAATGATAAGAATTGAAGGGGTTGATTATGAATACAGTTGTCTTGAATGCTGTTAGAAGTATGAGGGCGGTTATCACTTCTTGGTAGCCTACACCGTGGAGAGGTCCTTCTGGAGGTACCTGAAGAGGAAATTGGAGTAAAGGCGGTTTTAGTGACTCCAGAATGTTACCGCAGTGCCCAAGGGACAACTGCTCGAGGTCGGTCACATACAACTTTTTGTTAGTAATTTTCGTATTACCTCCTTACTTGTTTGGATCTTACCACCGGAGACGAATATCCGTGGGATAAGTCGAAGTGTGCATTTTTAGGGTCGACCTTTTCTAACCCCACCCCTACTTGTGGGAAGGCAGCACCGCTGTCATGCTGGTAGTCTGAAGGAAACACATTACTGCTGTCACACCTCTGTACAGTCAGCAGTACGACTTTGCCTTCGGACCTTGGGTTTGTTGCTTTTAGTTTTACTGCTCTTCAACCGACCTGTCTGACATGATAGGACCTTGAGAAACGATTGTCTCAGCCAGTATTGTTCGGTTGCTTAATCACGATAGGCAAGCCCGACCACCACGTCAAGGTAGCAAGAATTGAAGTGGTTGATTATGAATACAGTTGTCTTGAATGCTGCTAGAGGTATGAGGGCAGTTATCAGTTATTGGTAACCTACACCGTGGAGGGGTTCTTTTAAAGGTACAGTCGGCAGTACGACTGCCCTCATACCTTGGGTTTGCTGCTCTTAGTCTTTCCGCTGCTCAACCTATCTGTCTTCATCTTTTATTCTCAATTTCTGAGGACCATTGTCAAAGATGAAAACATTAACTCTCCTTTCTGTTCTCTCAATGTCAGTGCTTCGGCATATGTAAACTAGTGTACATAATTATGGCTAACATTAAATGGTTATCTGTCCACTTTGAATGTTTCAGCGAGATGGTGATGGAATACAAGTGTGGTTGAGATCTTGTCTTTTTGAAATATGCTTATTTTAATGTTAACAAATATCCTTTTTAAGCAGTTCTAATTCCTACTATTTTTACTGTCAATCGGCAAACCTTTAGCTGGTTCAGTTCAGGATGTCAATAGACTTAATAGTCCAATTTCAAAAGCTTCTAAGTCAATTCAGTGCTCAATTGACAAACCAACTACAAATTCTGTTGAAATTCATTGTGATATTTTAAGCGTCATTAAAAATGATGATTTCTCATTTGTTCTCGATGAGAACAGTAAATTAATTGCCCAAGTAAGTATTTCAAATCATTATCATTAAATATTTAGCCTACTTGATGTAAAATTTTGTTTTATTAACTGCAAGGCGCACTTCAGATGTTCCCGTTGAAACGTAACCACGAGAGTGACAGATCTTCATAGTCGGTAACACAATCTATTACTTGTTACGTATAAAACACAAGAACTAAATAAGGTCTGATTAAACTTGAATGGATAGTACAACTTTAGATTCTTTAGTGAAATTTAGCTAACGTTTCCTTGATTTCAATACCATGAGAAAGTTTGGTAATCTCCTAGTTGTAATATGAATTTCTTTTTAAAGGAATTTATTGAAATGGAAGAAACTGTAGACGTTGTGCTTCAGATACTTAACTCGAATAATATTTTTGTCAAATAATCAAGCTTCCTTTATCCAATACTTCTAAACTGTTCGACTACTTTTGGTGCTGTTCATTATACCACATGGAGACTTACTATAGATCAGATTATTTCTAACACGTATCAGTACTATAAACATGTGATATTTCAGTACTCACATAATTGTTACAAAAAACTGTCACTTGTTTTGATGACAGTCAGTCGTGTAGTCTTCAATGTTTTTCTTGTCTTTCTATATAATTGTTGACTAGTACACAATAACCTAGAACACCGACGTCAGTTATGCGGAAAGACCGATATGATCATTCCCAAGCAAAATTAATCTACGATTTTGAGCAAACATCAATGATTATAAGTGAGCTGAATACTTAACTGAAAATACTAATTACAGTCCTTATTATTTATTTAATTATTAACTAATCTGTAAGCATATTAAAACCCATTTCTCATTTACCACTTCAAGAGAAATCGGTCTTCATTTATGACCTAATTCTATCGATAAAATTATTCAGTACGATTATTGAACTAATATCATTATCAATGAAAAATTCTAATAAATCAGGTTAAATATAAAGATGTAAGCCAAACGCTATGCCTAAATTTAAATAAAGTTTGTGATTTACGTTACTGATAAATACCATTTTTCTACAATCGTTTCTATAATCAAAATGTCCCATAAATATTTCACTCGTTTTGCATCTTGTAATGGTTCATTAAACTAAATTTTTGCTATGTTCGAGACATTATGATTTTGCATTCGTACCGGCGAACGAAACGTAAACCAGCAACGCAATAACAGGACGAATCTAAGCTATCCATCTGCGCCTCAGCCCTGCTAACTAAAGGAAGAAGACGAAATTCAGTGGGGAAAACAAATCATCCGACAAACAGCTCGGAAAAATGAAAAAAAACAAATACTTAACTCATGCATGATATATACAATACAGAAATGTCTTTGAAAAGCGTCACGGAATACCATACTGAAAGAGAAAACGAGCCAATGACGTTTAAAATCCTTCCGGTTGGGAAACAAAAACGGAAGGTAATGAATGCCTTTGGCGCGAAAATGAGAAATTCAAAGTTCCACAATTGAATTACAAAATAAGAAGTCCAACCAAGTTATTTCCGGAAATTTAGCATCACCAACAATTTCCTTACCGTTTACTCTTTGTTAAGAATTATCTAATAATAAATTATGATTTGAAATATCCTTAAGCACTTTTCATTAATTGAACAGGTGAATGTATGCTGTTTTCTAATCACTCTGATATCAGCTATTTATGTTTCATTTAGTATGTTTGATTCTGTGAAACAAAATTCTAAATTTTTCCGTAATTAGGTTTTTGCATGGCAAACGACAACTTCAGGATTTTTGTCGGAATGCGCTTCGAAAATATATTTTGAAGCTTAATAACATAGAGCTGGGTTTCGAAAATTATTTTGAAGCCTAAGGATATAGCTAGTTATTTTTAATATGATTAAGTTCTTATTCTTTAGATTTCAGTGCAGTGATTTAGGTTTTCCTGTTGTCTCACTACTATGTTAAACAACCATACAAAAACTATCAGCACTTTTGGATTATCATAATCTTCTATTGATTCTAATTTGCAGCAAAAAGCACATATTGAACATTTAAAGCATGCTCTATCATCGGAACAAAATAAAGTTCAAGGTCTACATAGTCAGTTGTGCAAAAATCAACTCGAATTTGACAAAGCTAAATTAGGCTGGTTGCAGAAAGAAAATCAGTTTAAAGTGAGTTAAGAAACTGTTGACCATTTTAAACCGCATTTCTGCTCTATATGATAATAACGATTCAGATCTACGTCTTCTTCGTTAGTTTATATATCATGCGGGCGAACAGTTCATCAGACAAAATTAATTAGATTGAATTCATATTTTTAATACAAATATATAAATATGAGTATAAGTAATAGATTTTTAGTAGTATCCTAGTTACTGCAATATTTCATAATTAATTGTTTTAATATTTCCATATAATTTAAAATGAGTAATACAAAAAAAGTATAGTGCATCGAAAACGTATCTTATTGGCAGTTCGTATAATTAATCGTTTGTTTGATTGACAAAAAAAATAGTTCAAACTAAGTCTACGTGAATGAATTAAACTTCATCCGTTAGTTTAAATTAATGTAGTTTACTCACTGATTGGTTTAGTTTGTGGTGTCCATATCAGTTTTATCTATGATGTGTGATATCTCTGAAATAATTGATTTCAAAATGATTGGATCGATGAATAGTTGGTTTCTATTATCGACATCTGGATTTTAATATCATCATTTGACTTATCAACAGCATCAATTTGCAAATATTGTTTTACTTTATAGATAAACTAACTTTGATTAATCCTTGTATTTATTTTTTTCGAGCTTTCTTAGTTATTAACCTTGTAGAATATAAGAGAAGGCTTGCATGTGAGCATTAGTTATAATCTTCGGGTGTGTATTTTTCATGAACTAAAGTTCAAAATCCTACAAACTTAATCATCTTTTGTGAGGAGAATCAACTTTATATATTTCCATTAAGATTACCTTCAGTGATACTTGACTGCATCCAAACAGTTTAATTCGATCTCAATAGCTTCTTGAACGGTGTCTAAAACTGTTGAAGAAATCCCAAAATATTCCTCGTCGAAGTCCCTAAAGGCCCAGAAACAATAGGAAACATTTTACCCAATCAGCTTTAAATGGAATTTTTTCATAAACATCTGGAAGATGCAAAGTAACGTTCAACGGTTTTGATTCAGCATTTACCCACACCACTATATAGTTTGGTGACAAAATTTTCCGGAAGCCCAAGTTAGTGTTAACATATAAATACCGTCGTTCTTAAGTACATAAACCAACCTTGGAGTTAAGCTTTTACTTGCATTCGCACATTCTCTCTAGCGCTCCAGATAATGTGTATTAGTAGCTGGAGTTATCGGGAATGGCTGAGTACAGTTTATGCATATCAGTTGAAAGACTTATCAAAACACTATAAAACTTTAATTGATTATGTAGAACGGAATAAATTGATCGCAAAAACAGTTCCCTGTTATTTCAGTATACGTACTCGAGTTTCAGGGCTATAAGAAACATCAAGACGATGTTCTTTGCTTTCGACTAGTTTCATAGCTAAATCTGGGATTAACAAACCAGTAGTGTTAGAAAAGGCAATGGACAGAAAGAAAGTATGTTTATTTAAGAGGTTACGAAGTATTTACATAATACATATACTTTTTCTTCAGTCGTCCATTTTCATTTTTCAATGTGTTCTATCTTCTCGTTTTAACAGAAAGTCCCCTAGTAGCAATAAAACCACTCCATGTTCTTAAACATTTATCAAAAATTTATGTCAACCGAATAAGATAATAAAGCATATTATAAGACTGTCCCAATGCACACCGCTTTCTGCATCTTCGCGACAGGACGGCTGTTAGTGGTAGTGGGTGAACGAAAAACCAATGTCTGTCGCTTAAACTGGGTTGGTGGATACGGAGGATCCATATGTGTGTGTGTTGGAAAACCTTGGTTTCAAGTCAATAGTGCAAATAGACCCCAGGGTATTGAGGGACCAAATGGTATATGAACCTATTTTTAGTCACCAAGTACCATGGGATCATATCTCCTGACCTTGCTGCCTTTCCTTTTTGATTAGACCTCTAGATCAAAGACCTGAAGAGTGTCCTTCTAAGACAACCCTTTGATTCTGTCTGGGTACTTGGGGAGTATCACAGTTTACGAAACGTTTGATGGTGACTACAGCCGAAGAAAATACTCTCGTTCCTATTCCCGTTCTCACAACTACTTAGTAACATTCACTTGTATTTTACATTGCATCGCGTATCTGTTCTCTTTTATTCCCACTTCGTGTATTCCTTTATCCTTCAACTCATACAGCCGTTCACCTATGGTGGAACTTCTGTCCCATTTAAACGATCTCAAGTCACTGACTGGTCAAGGGTTAAGCTCTAGCACCGAACACAAGTTCTGAACCAGCCTTTCTGAATCCACCTATGCCACCCTAACTAGCCTCCTTCAAAAAGCACACACTAATCCAGATCGGACAACAGATAGGGTTGACTATGTCTTCAGAAGGTTTCAACATCGATGTCTGTTGTCTATCCGATATCTGTATTCAAGACTCCAGTGAAGAACTGTAAATTGGCTCTCCATCTGTTGCTTCAAAAGCTTGTTTCGTGTGTGGTTATCCAGGGACCCTGTGACGTCTTCGTCCGGTTTTTGTAGCGTTGGCGTTGCACTAAGAGCCAGAATATAAGCAGGACTAATCTATGAGGTCCCAATCAACGGTCGATTATTTACTACTAAGTAAGAATGCCTCATCAATTTGGGAAGAAATCGATGTGGGAAACGATGACTTTTCTTGATCTCCGCCTATGCCCCAACCAATTGCCTGGATTCTATCAAGGATGAGTCCTACCACCAGTTAAGTGGTCTCCGGAAAGTGCGTCCAACAGATATTGTGGTACTAGCCGGAGATTCGAATGTGCAGATCGGGCGTCTAGAGACCGAGCGGATCCGTTTAAGTAGCCAATGGGAACTCGTCGGTTGCAGGTCAGATAACGGTGCTGTCATCCACAAAGTTCAGTCAGTCAGTAACAACGTAGAACTTCGTACGTACGTACGTACATCGGTTCGAGTTGCCACACCACATTAGCACAGAGATGCAGTGGTCGATTCAAATCCCGTAGTGGCAGAGGTAATGAGAGTATAAGCAGTAATCGGGGAGGTTAATGTTTGGAGATGTTACTTAAAGAGTATAATACAGTGAAATAAATCTGGGAAGAGAAAAAATGAGACAAGGAGGAATAAGGAGATCAAAATTCGGGAGAACACAAAGAATGTATGCACCTGCACCATTGCAAACGATTTCGAGCCATCTCATTCAGGGTCTCTAACCATCGGTTGCTATCATCTTGTGGTCCCCAACCAGGTAGTCTACACCTACCAACATGACTCAGTCCACTTGTCAGTGACTTCATGGACTTGTGCCATGTTTTGTTCTGGCCGCCCCTAGCTTTCTTCCAACCTACTCCTATAACACTGAGCATCGCACGTCGAGGCAGTCGGTCGTTCGGCATACGTAACACGTGTCCCAGCCATCTCAACTGATGAAGATTCACTACTTCATTAATTGATTTGCCATCCTTACCTAGTACCCGTTTCCTAACAACTGTATTGCTTATTCGGTGGTCCCAGGATATACGCGCAATATATCGAAGACACCTATGATCAAATGCTAGTAAACTACGGATATCCTTTACTCTTACCCGCCATGTTTCACTGCCATAAAGTAGGACGGAACGAACTGCTGCGCAGTAAACCCGTCCTTTGGTTGATAGACGGATATCTCGCCTACGCCATAAATGACGCAAGTTGGTAAAAGCTAGTCGAGCCTTCTGTATCCGTGCTGAGATTTCGTCACACACCAGACCACAAGGGCTAGTGAGACTCCCAAGATAAGTGAAGCGGTCGACACGCTCAACTACTTCACTCCTTATCATTAGTTCGGGTGTCAATGCAACCCAATCCTCAAGCAGTATTTTGCATTTCGAGGGAGAGAATCGCATGCCGAATATGCTTGCATTGTTGCTTAGAGTGGTCAGAAGACTGTATTTTGTCAGCGTCTTCACCAAATAGAACTATGTCATCGGCATATTCCAAGTCAACAAGTGAACCACCCGGTAGAAGTTCAACCCCTGGAAATTTAGACGTGTAGTGTTATCTCTAAAAGGACGTCGACAACAAAGTTGAACAAGAATGGGGAGAGTGGACAGCCCTGACGAACACCACTTGAGGTAATCAATTCTGATGACAGTTATCCATAAGCTCTCACTCTACCAGTTGTGTTCGAGTAGAGAGCCTTTATAAGGTTAATGTACTTCTTTGGTACTCCTTTCAGTGACAAACACTGCTATAGAACCTCACGATCGACATAGTCGAATGCTGCCTTAAGGTCGAGAAATACTACGATAGTGGGGCGTCTGAACGTGTGTCTGTGTTCTAGAACCTGACGTATTGTGCATATCTGGTCTATACAACCACGTCTAGATTGAAAACCAACGTGATTTTCTCTAGTCTGCTCTTCACAAGCTTTAGTTATGCGTTGAAGTATTATTGAAGCTAACCTTTTAGATACTATATTTGTCAAACTGATTCCTCTGTGATTGTCACAAGAGGACTTTTGTCCTTGCTTATAGACTGGCATAATCAGTGATTGAGTCCAGTCAGATGGGATTACGTACAGTTCCCAAATTGTAACTAACACCTCAGTTAATCTCACTGCTAATACCGGACCACCATCCTTAAAAATCTCAGGGTTAAACCTTTCAGGGCCTGCTGCTCTCCCTTGCTTCAGATTTTCTATAGCTTTTTGAATTTCGTAAAGATTCGGAGGATCTTCATTAACTTGCCATTTTGGGTGACTGCAGATCGTGAGAAATAGAAGTGTGGCTGAAAGTCACTTCAACTGGTCCCTAGTGTTCACTGCCATTTACACAGCTTTTCGGATATCATTCCATGCTGCCTCTGGGTGGGCACCACTTACATGGCTGCCTAACTGTTTTTCTAGTTGTTACTGAAATATATTCTTAGCTTGGCTATCATTAAGTAGAACCCTAAGAGGTTTACTTGCAGCGTCTTTCCTACGTCCAGTAAGACGCAGACAAATACGCTCTCGCACTATAGCATGATCTGAATCTAAACATGTGCTCAAGAACGAGCGACAGTCTT